CTTGTGTGGGGATGGGGGTATATGGGAACTCTGTAATTTCCACTCAATTTTGCTGTGAACCTAAAACTGCTCTAAAAAATAAAGTCTATTAGGGGCTGGCCCAGTGGCGTAGTGGTTAAGTTTGTGCACTCCGCTTCAGCGGCCCAGGGTTCACGGGTTCGGGTCCTAGGTGTGGACCTACACACCACTCATCAACCATGCTGTGGCAGCATCCCACATACAAAATAGAGGAAGACTGGCACAGATGTTAGCTCAGGGACAATCTTCCTCAAGCAAAAAGAGGAAGATTAGCAACAGATCTTAGCTCAGGGGCAATCTTCCTCACCAAAAAAAAATAACAAAGTCTATTAATTAAAAAAAAATTTTTTTAATGAATGATGAAGAAACACCATCAGCCCTTGATTATGCAACGTTGGCTTGCAGATGCCTCAGGCTACTCTACTTGTGTGAAGTGCCCCAGGCAGACTGGTCATCCCTGAAGGCAGGGAATTCCCTTCCCTTGTCAGTCCTGCCAGCCTGCAACCTGCCCAGGCCTGGGTGCACACAGGTGGTGTGCTCTGCCTAGGTGGATGACCGGCAGCCAATTCCCTGCCCATCTACCTGTGATGCGGTAAGTCAAGGGGCCTGCAAAAGCCATCTGAGCTTTGGACTGGGCCCTATACTGTCTGTGCTATGGTTCCTGACCCACTTCTGGAAGGCCAGGCTGGCTGCTCAATGTGGGAGGAACTAGCCCTGAGGCTCCACACATGCATGATCTTGCAGACTTTCTGCCCCTAACCAAGAGTATTCCTGTATCATAGACCCAGAGGGAGCCCCAGAGGGACGGAGCTAGAACCACAGTAGACCAGAGAGGACTCTCCTGGCTCCCAGATACCTGCCGGTAGATCTCCCAGTGTTTCTGTTCACCAATCATAGAAATGGGGCAACTCAGTGAAGACTTTTTTATCCTAGAAATTCCCTGCCTTGGCTGTCACCTCACTGGAGGTCCAGGAAGATCACAAAAGTCTGCAGAAGACTGTGGGGCCTCCACCCTGCCCCAGCCCCCCACCACACACTCACTCACCTTCCCCAGCCACTGCTTGCATGCAAGTCCTGGGAGAGGCCACACAGAGACTGCGGGGATGGCCTGCTAAATGGTCTGTTACACTCCAAGACCCAAGCCTTCTAGCTCTGTTTCTCCAGGTGGTCTCTTCCTCAGTCTTCCTTCAAAGGCCCTGGGGCCTGGGAGGCAGCATGACCCACAGAAAGAGCAAGGGCTTGAAGCCAGCCAGAGCTTCCCCACTGAAAAGCTGTGGGACCTTGAGAAAGTTAAGTAACCTCTTTGAGCCTCAATTTGCTCATCTGTCAACTGAGGATAATAATATTCACCTTAAGGATTGCTATGAGGATTAAGTTCTAAACGGTAGCTGTTACTTCACAGGGCGTGGCTTCTGAGCAGTACTTCCCTCTCGTGCCCTGTGTGTAGGGTGACCACACATCCTGGTTTGCCCAGGACAGTCCCAGTTGATGCCTATTGTCCCGGCATATTTATTGCCCCTTTTCACTCTCAGAAGTACCCACTTTGGATAACAATACATGGTCAGCCAACCTGTACCTCCTTCTATTCTCAACTCAGGTCCAGCCTGTGTAAACAGCACCACCCATTTCTACTCTCCCCTTTAAGAGGCTATGTCTTGGTTTGTAGTTAGGAGAATTTTTATACCCTTCTCTCTGAGCCTCAGGTTGTTATTTTTTCCAACAGGGTTAGCAATGTCTATCTGGAAGGATGATTAGAAGGATTAAATGAGATAAGGTATAACAAAGCACATGTCTGGTACAGGCCAGATGTCAGATAAACACGTTCCCTTCTATGACCTTCTCTCCCTCGTTCCTGTCATGCCAACTTACCCCCAAGAGTGGGGCTGTAGAGCTCAACTTCTCCCCTACGATGAGAGTGTTTTTCAGAAGTTCTAGGTGACATATGAGCTCCCAAGCCATGATCTCTCCCGAGAGCAAGAAACGATCTTCACCTGCATTCCCAAGCTCCACTACAGGCTCTGAGGGCGTCCCAGCCTCTCCTTCCTGCATGCATCTGTGTGTTTCTGCCTACACTGGCTGTTTCCAAGCCCATCGCTAGAGCTGGAAACCCTTCAGCCCTCACCTACCTTGCCCACATGAACAGAAGTCACCTTTGAACTCTCTCCCCTCTTCAGGAATCCAGAGGCCTGAAAAGGAGTCTGCTGGGCCTCCAATCCCCAGGGACCAGCTATCTGGGCCAGCAGGCAAACGGTAACCATGTAATCTCAGCAGACAAAGCCACCATGAGACCAACCTGTTGCAGCAAGGGGGATGACATGTTCCCAGATCACACCTGGAGAGCTGCATGTCCTCCAAAGTCCCTGAAGCTCAAATCTCCCATCTGCCTCTTGCCCTCACACCCGCCTACTCCCGGCATTCCTTTGCTGTTAGACAACTGGCAGTTCCTCTGACCTGATCCTTCCCATTGCCTTGCCCCAGGTGGTACCAAACCTGCCTTGAATACTGTAGAATATTTGGCTCCACCAGGAAGCTCTCAGTGTAAACAACCTGTCAGTCACTAGGATCTGACTCCAGGGCTCTTTGTTCAGAGGCAGCTGTGTGACGTTTCAGATTTTCGTGCTGCCCTAGAAACCACAATATATGTATGAAGGAAGCTATGGGAAGAAAAAGGTAATGAAGCAGCTACTAAATTGGGACTAAAAAAAGTGATATTTGGTGGTGGTGGTGGTATGCGGTAGATGGGATGTTTCCACGGATCCCAGGGAAGTGAATGCTAATGAGGGCAGCAGCTTGTTTGGAGGTGGCTGTAGGGCAAAAAGAGAAACTGTGGGGCCGGCCCGGTGGCACAGCGGTTAAGTTCACATGTTCCGCTTCTTGGCGGCCCGGGGTTCACCAGTTCGGACTCCGGGAGCAGACATGGCACCACTTGGCAAAAGCCATGCTGTGGTAGGTGTCCCACATATAAAGTAGAGGAAGACGGGCATGGATGTTAGCTCAGGGCTAGCCTTCCTCAGCAAAAAGAGGAGGATTGGCAGCAGTTAGCTCAGGGCTAATCTTCCTCCAAAAAAAAGAGAAACTGGCTGGGGGACCCTCACCTTCCCGTCTATAAAATGGAATTAAATATACTAGTTGACTCTATCATGAAGCTGTCCTGTTAGGAGGGTGAATTGAGATCAAAGAAACTCTTAGCAATGTAGGGAACACAACACATACACATAACCTGAATATAATCTGGGGCTCCCTATGGCTCAACCCTGCAGAGAGTCGACTCAGAGAAGCACACACTGGCAAAGAAGTTTAAAAGGAACCTCAATCTTTCTTTGGGACTCTTGAAGAACATGAAAGTGTGTCCAAGTCACAATCTTCAGCAACATTCCTCAAAATCCCTTTATTTCCCACCCTCATCTTCCTGTACCCCTTAGCAGCTCAGAGACTCTTTTAAGCCAACCCCCAAACTGTACCCCAACTCGTGGCCAGCCTGCATAGCTCTGCTGCCACACCTCCAGCCAGGCTCCTCTCAGGAGTCATTAAGGAGTTAACTGAGTCTCTGCTCCGTGCTTTAATCCCTCACCCCCTTCACCCATTACCAGAATTTGCCACAACAACCCCAAAAGTAAAACTCCTTTCCTTTTTCCTCCTATCTTCTCAGTTCTGTATCTCAATCTGTTTTCTCTAATTCCACACCACAAAATGCCTGGGAACCATGAGGGAAGACTTAGCGATCCTGAGAGAAAACACTGTGGTAAGCAAAGCAAAATTCTTTTTAGTGGGTGGGACTAGGGACTGTTAATAAGTCTTGCACCAACAGGCAGGCACACAATGGTCATGAAGTTCCCATTCCCCCCACTAGCCACAAGGATAGTGGTTTTTACACTTGCTAATCATGCTGATTCTCCTTCACTTCATCCCCCACTTTTGCACCCCTCCCCTTCCAGAACCATGGGTGTGGCCAAGGCCTTCAGCACAACCTGGCTGCCCTGGCTTAGCATCTGGCTTCCTCCCTGACTCCAGCTTCTCAGTTTTCCAATCTGTCCTGCATACACCACGCAGCTGAGCTTTACCACACTCCACACTCACCGTGTGCCTCTCCTGCTGAATAGCTCCCAACTTCCCTAACACATGGAGTCTAAGTCCCCATCCAGGTGTCCCACATCAAGTGTGTGGCAGCGCGTCTTCACCCATGGTACCCACCTTTAACTGCGCTGGTCTTCCAGTAAGCACCAGCCCCAGTTCTGCTCCCTCCAAAAGCCCACCCTGACTGCCTCTCAATTCTGAACGATGGCACTTAGAGTCTGTGCTACATGGTCTCGCTTTTGATTTTCTCTTTCATTTTTTTAATTGTTTTAAATCCTTGAGTCTTATTCCCATAAGACCATTAGCTCCCTGAGATCAGGGACCTCAACGGCTTATAAGGAGCACCCAGGGGTATTCAGAAGTCATCTTCCATTACTAGCTCATGACAAGAAAAACAGACCTGTTTCTACTCCAAAGGCTTTGATGGAACTCTCCAGATGCCCCTGCCAAGTCATTTTTAAGAACCTCCGGATAAAGGGCAGAAGGAACCCTTTTAAAAATGTATGTAATTATTGCTTTTGTGGTAGATAATGTATTCATCTGGCTCAAAACATAAAATGAAGTTGGCCTCCCACCTTTGTTTCTCAACCACCCAGTTTCCCTGCCAAAAGGCAAACAGTAGACTGGTTTCTTGTTTATTTTTCAGTAGGTATTTGATGATATGCAAGCCAATATGAATACATCCTCCTTTTCTCCCCTTTTTTTATACACAAGCTAGCATGCAATACACATTATTCTGCATCTTGCATTTTCTGTTTAACAATGTGTCTCAGACATCATCCCATATCAGTTCCTAGAGAGCTTCCTCACACTGTCTTGTGGCTATGCAGTGTTCCAGCGTAGGAACAACTCTAATTTATTTAATCAACTCCTTACTGTGAGACAGTGAGGGTGTTTCCAGTCTTTTACTACCATATACAATGCCGCAACGAATAGCCTTGTTCAGACATGTCACATACATGAGTGTATTTGTGGGACAAACCCTACAAGCAGAATTGCTGGGTCAAGGGGTAGGGTGCATATGTAATTTTGAAAGACATTTCTAGATTGTTCTCCAAAGAAGTTGTATCCATTTGCACTCCCACCAGCAATGTATGAGGGTGCAGTTCCCCACACCTCGCCAATCTCCTAGGTGAAAACTTTCATTTCAGTGTAGTTTGATTTGCACTGCTCTCCTCATGAATGTGGCTTAGTAGCTTTTTATGTTTCAACAACATTTGCGTATGTGTGTGTGTGTGTGGACTGTTTTTATTCTCTGCTCATTTTTTTGTGTTCTTAGTTTTTTTCTAATCGATGTATAGGAGCTCTTTATATATGAGAGGAATCAGCTCTTTGTTGTACCAGCTGCAGATAATTTCCCATTTGTTGTTTGTCTTTTGGCCTTGCCTTTGGGCTATTGCTAGGTGGAATTGCTTATTTTTCTGTAGCCAAATTGATCAGTCTTTGCTCTTATGGCTCCCAGGTTGTGTCTTGCTCAGAAATGAGCAGGACTGCCCCCCCATACACACTTTTTAAAAATTTTGTCAGTACAAGGAGCTTGGAATGACTTGCTAGGTTTTGTGAGGAACAGGATAACTCCTGCCCCCCAGGAGATCCCAATTTTAGGGGGACACAAAGTAAACTGATGGTTACAATTCTGTGTTATAATAAATAAGAGGAGGCACAATGGGAACCTGGGCAAGGACTACCTAATCCAGCCTGGGTTGGCCAGGGAAGGCTTTCCAAAGGAGGTGGCCCCAGGTACATCAGAGGCATGAGTAGGAGTCAGCCAGGTGAAGAACGTCCTTCCCGTAAAAGTGGCAGCATGTGCAAAGGCAAGAAGCGAGAAGCAACAGGGCTCAGTCAAGGTTGTCCAGTCGGGCAAGAGGACAGGGAGCCCTGCAGGGTTGGTGTGTGGTTAGAGGTGGAGTTACAAAGGTAGGCAGGGACAGATCACAAATGCCAAGTGTGTACTGCCCAGGAGCCAGGGCCTTACCCTGAGGCAGTGAGGAGGCAGCAGAGGGACACATGAGCAGCGTGGAGGAAGAGCTGGAGACAGCCCAGTGTGGAGGCTGGGCTGGGGCTCGAAGACTTCTGCCTCTAGCCCAGCAGCAGCCACAACAGCCTAAAGAGGCTCCAGGGTGCTAAACAAGAGTGCGGATTTCAGACCCAAATGTTCTATTCTGTCAAAATTCCAGAATTCTATAAAAATCATCAGAGAAGCTAGCATCTCCTCTGAGAAACACTCCTACCCAAGATGACAACTTTAAGAGCTCTGACTCGTGGTGGGGAAGGCCATGGTTATCACTCCCACCTCAGCGCCTCTCTGGCAGATGGGGCCAGGTAAATGCTGCTCAGACACTAACTGCCTTCTCCTCTTAGCTCCAGCCTGGCTCAGGGAACAATTGGGCTCTTCAGCCCCAGACAATTCATCCAGACCCCCATTCAAAATGGGCAACAGGGATGCAGGACTGGAATGGCAGACCCCTAGGGATGGGGCCTCCAGCTGACCCTCGTCTTCGGGGACATCTCTTTCTTTCCAGCCAGCAAGGCTCAGTCCGGCCACAGCCATTTGCAGAGGTACCAGGCAGAGGCCTGTGAACTTCTCTGCCTCTGTGGCCTTTTAAACTAGGTATTTTGTAGCAGGTCTCCCGAGCAACTGTCTTCCCTAAGGTGCCCAGCACAGAGCCTTGCACACGATAAACACTCAGTAAATGGTAGCACTTTCTGTGAACACTGGAAAGCCTCACCATTCACTAGCAGTTTGCTGAGAGGAAGGGTGATGTGGACACGAGGAGGGAAGCTGGAAACCATTTAAATGGAACTTTGGGATTGTCTCTGGATTTCAGCTACCAGGCCCTCCCCATGCCTGACCCCCAACCAGCCAAAGAGGTTGGTTCTTGATGCTACTATTTTAGTTATATTTTCTTTAGTGACCTAAGGCTTTTTATCCCAAAGGATCATTTGATTAAGTCAAGTGCTGTAGAGATAAAGGCTCTTGGAGGCTGCTGGAGACCTAGGTTCCAGCAAGCAGGCTTCCTGGTGCCCCTCAAAGGCACCTCTACCCTCAGTGGTCCACAGGTATGCATGGGGTGCCCACTCACCCCTGGCCCAGAAGGCAGGAGGGCAGGAAGCCAGCTTCAACCTCAGCACCAAACAAGCAAAGAAGCCCCTCCCCACCGCAGCCACCAAACAGCAACTGGGTCAAAGGCAGGGCAGTGGAGGGTTTCTAGGGCAGAGCACGTGTCTCTCTGGAATCTACTTCCCCAGTTCACATGGGGGGAGGGGAGAGACAGACACCCAGGCCCCATCTCAGGCACAGCAAAGCTGCTGAGGACAACACCAGGAAGCAAGGGGCCTGGGTTCTAGGGCAGATTCCAACCTTGCTGGCTGGGCACCTATCACTTGCATAAAGGCCACATCAACTAGGGTCAGGATTTTATTTTTCCTAAAATGAGACAGTCTATTTCAGTAAATGTTGAGAAAGCTCACTGGTATGTATACATATCTAGCTTTAACTTCTGTTTATTTGACATCGAGGCACTCAGTGGGGTGTTAATCCTTTCAACACTCCATGAGAGTTGGATGATAACACATATGAGGAAAGTGAGGGTCTGAAAGGCTGAGCTCTGAGCCAAGGTCTCACTGCTAGTATGTGGCAGAGCTGGGACTTGAACTAGGGGCTGTCTGGCTTCAGAGTCCTTTGGCCTTAACCACCACATGACATGGGGACTAAGGAGTGCCAGTCAGTCATCAGCCCAGACCCTTCCCCAGCCATACCTAGCAATGCCTCCAATCTCTGAGACCACAGAGGGGCTATAAAGAAGGACAGAGTCTCCTAAATGGTCACTTTATTCTCCAGTACCCCTGATCTCACAGCATGGTCTCTGGGGAATCTCAGGGACTTGCCAACTCACAGGCTTCCCTGACTCTGCATGGTACTTGGGCACCCTACCAAGGAGCTGAAGCTCCAAAGGCCTGGCCAGGGGCCCACCATGCTGGGGATCTCCAGCTTTGGCTGTTTCTAAAAGCAGCTCTTGGGCACAATGTAGAATCAAGGTTTTTCAGTCACTCCTCGGTCCCTCTCCCAGAGCACAGGGACAATACAGCAGCTTGCTCCTCTTGCTTGCTATGCCCATCCCAGGACAAGGTGGGGAGGGGCTCCAGAAAGTGAGTGTCTTCTAAGTGGGAAGGAATTGAGACCTGGGCCTTTGGTCTAGTTTAACCTGGGGCAAGTCAGACCCCTCGGGAGGCTCCAGAGCAGGCCCAGGCTGGACCCCTACTCAGCAAATGCAGGACTCTTCATCATATTTTGCCAACATCCATCTTCTTCACCAACTTGGCCTGAAAACACGCTGAGTGCAGAGGGACACACACGACAGAAATCCTGGGTTCAACTCTGCTGGAAGCCACCGTGCAGGGAGAGAATCTCTTTCACTTTGTCCACAATGGTGCCCACCTCAGCCATGGCCCCCAGACCTAGGAGCAAAGTTCTGCTGTGGCCCTGCAGACTGAGGCAGGGGATCATCCCTCCCCGACCCTGCTCAGTACTTCCCCAGTGCTCAGTGCTCCACCCAGAGCCCAGTGCCTGAGAAGGCCAGGACCGTCTCAGCCTGAGCCAGACCCATCAATTCCCCTCAGAGACACCCCCAGGACAGACCCCAGGAATACTTATAGTAGCCGTCATGAACTGTATATGGGCTGTGTGCCAGGGATGATACCAGGCACTTTACATACACTATCTCATTTAATCCTAACACCTCTAAGAGGGAGGAATTAGGACTTCTATTTCCCAGATGAGAAAGATAATATCGGAGGTAAATGGTTTTGCCCGAGGTCACAATAGGCTAGGATCTGAACCCAGAGCCGACTCCAAAGCTGAGCCCTTCCACAGCCCTGGGCTGTGAGAACAGGCTTTGAGCCTGACCAGATGCCCACCTTGGTCTCCACACACCAGCTTCTTGGCCACACAGGGAATCTCAACATAGCCGAAGGCCTTGAGCTGGCCCACCTGCTGAGCAGTGATGGGGTGCTCCCACATGGCGGTGTTCATCGCTGGGCAGAAGAGCAGAGGCTTGCTGCGGTCCCAGGCCCGGATGACACAGGTCTGTGAAGAAGGGCCAGAGGTAGGGAATAGGTGGGTCTGCTGCTTTGCTTGCCACCCCTCCCCAGCCCTTCCAAATCCTATGCACCGTCCTCTGGGCCGTAGCCAGCCATGGGCTCGGGATGACTGCTATCTGCAGGGAGCTGTCTCATGTCCCTCAGGAGGTAGGGATGTGTCTCCTGGCCCCTCTCCACCTTCCCAAGGCTCTTGCATGGAGCCCTATACAGAGAAGATGCTCCACCAATGCGCACAATGGCCCAGCCACCTCCAAGCAGACCTTCCGTCCTGTGCAGAAAGGTCTCCTTGTGCCCAAGCATAAGGCTTCTTCACAGTGGGCCACACCTCACAGAGAAGCAACCCTGGAGAGCAGAAAGCAGGCTTTGCAGATCCTCACAAAGCTAAGGACCAGAATGCTCATCAGGTGGGGCCCATCTACCCTGATACTGGCTCTACTTTGAGGCCAATTAAAGCTTGGCAATGAAAATAACATCTTACGCATGACAAAAACCCTCTTGCATATATTATCCCATGAACCCTCGCTGCGACCCTGTAAGCTGCACTCCCTGGAGGTAAGCAGTTATCCAAGCTCACACAGAGACAATCATCTGGGGCTTGAGGCTTTGCACACCACCCATGTGATCCTCCACCACACCGTGCAGCCTCACTACCTCCTAATTTTCAGGTCATCCACTGAGTCACAGACCAAGGCAGCTGTGAAAGGGACTGACCAGCTCACAGAGTCCTTAGTGCTGTGGGCTGTGAAATCACATAGACTGGGGTTCAAATCCCGGCTGTGCTATCTACTATTACTGGCTGTGAGAACTTGGACAAGTTATTTAATGCTTGGAGCCTCAGCTTTCTCTCTGCAAAAGCTCCTGCTCACTGGGTGGTCATGAGGACAGAGGGTAAAAATGCTTAAAGCTCGTCTCACAGGGCCTGGCACAAAATACAGCCTCCAGAAACAGTAGCCCCTGTTATGATCACAGGCATAGACTCCCTGGGCCAGGGGCTGCCATGGGGAGAAATAAACTCTGGGGTCCACAGGAGTGAGCTCCCCCGTGCTCTAACTGCTCCAGCACCTCCTCCTGGGCCGTAGGCCTCTCAGGGAGACAGTAGCTGGCACACCCCTTCCCTGACGTGGAGCCGGTCTAGGAAATGATGGGGGAGTCCAGAGAACAATGCCACAAACAGGCTAGGGCCAATGCCTCCCCTTGGTGCCCTTGCCCTCTCCTGGGGACAGGAAGGAAGCGAGACAGCACACAGCCTCAGGATCTGGCTGCTTGCGTAGTTTCAGACACCAGCGTTTATTTCCCACAAGGCCTCCTAATTTGGCAACCAGGCTATGAGTGGATGGTTTCAGTCATGCTTCCTCTTGGTCCTGTGCCACCTGCTGCTTCTGTAGAAGTCATGAGCGTACCTAGAAGAGCCCCTGGACTACGTGCGGGGTGGGGTGGGGGCTGGGTTGGGGTTTCCAAGTGTCCTCAAAGCAAAGCACACCAATTAGAGCAGAAACCCAACACATCCATGTTCTATACCTCTCTAGCTCTTCCCACCTCAGCTCAGCACTTCCTAGACAAACCACAGCTCTTCCGAACCGTCCAGCAGCAGGAGGGATGAGAGGAGGCACCAGTTCCCATGGTCACTTCTGTTTAGCCAATGTGGTGTTCAGCACCTCAGGCTCTGGCCCTGGGAATCTGCTTTGCGGAGAAAAGGCCTGGATCCCTGTGAGGAGACCAGCTCCCAACTAGACTATGACCCAGGGAAGTCACCTCCTCTTTCTGGATCTGCTTGGCTATTTGGCACAAAGAAGGGGCAGGGCCCGAGTGGGCAGAGGGCAGTGGAGATGCACATCACCTAGGCCAAGGTCCCAGAGGCTGGGTGCACAGGTTCATACCTAGCATGCTGCTCTAACTGCACCTCAAGTTCTGGACACTGGAGAGGGAAAGATCAGAAAGAGGGAGGCAGCAGGGTGAGCTTCTTTTCAGGGATATAAGCATGTTTTGAGAGAGGACAGAGCCACAAACCAAAGATGATGACAGATTAAACTTTATAAGATTTGCAATTCCTTGAAATATTTGTGCTTTCAAGTGAAACCCTTTGAGGCAAATGGCCTAGGGCCTGGTCTTGGGAACATACCCCACTGCTCAGCCGACTCAAGAGGAGGGAACCCCAAAGATTTCATGGAAGGATGGCAGCTTTGAAGAAAAAAGGGAAGCAGAGCTTTCGAGAAGGAAGGAGCCCTCAGAGAGCCGTTCCAGGCCAGGCGTCACCTCCTAGAGGTCAGTGTGCTTCGCCACATCAGCTGGCTGCTGACCAGCCAGTGGGAAGCCTGGAGGTTTGGTGAGATGGTACTGTTACACACAACTCTGACCCTCTTAGGCAACAGCGGCCAGGAGCCTCACCTGTTCCAGCTGCCCTGTCAGCCTGGTACCAGCTCCACGGGGAAGCCTTCTTGGTAACACTGCCCCAAGGCTTGCCCTTCTCTGCACTCCCTACCCTGCTCCTGACCACACAATCTGGGTGTTGCTCTCCTCCTGGTCACCTGTGCTCTTACTCAAACGATGCTTAAATCACCAGGAGACTCTTCAAGAAGTACCTTAAGCACCCATCAATAAACATATGAGGAGACTAACCTCTTATCTGACCTCCAAAAATCATGACCCCGCTTTGCTATTCACTTCTTCACCATATAAAACTCTGAAAAACTCCTGGTTGTTTGCCAAAGTCAAATTACTAATTACCTCATACACATAATAAGTATTTATTGAATGCCTACTATATGCCCAGCTCTGTGCAAGGTGGTGACTCCATTGTCAACTGGGGTCATTTAAGACTGTACCACAAACCAGAGCACATTCCCTTCTCACCTGCATGGGTGACCAAAAACCCTCCCCTTCCAGACTGTGTGTCTTGTGTGTCCCTCTGCCTGGGGCCTGGTTTAGGGTAGGTAAAAGCTCAATGAATGAGGGAAGAGGGGCGAGAGGGAGAGGGAGAGAGAAGAGAGATCATGCTTAAACCTTCCCAGGATGATCATATAAACAAAGGTTCTTTAAGGACAACAGCTCCCTAGAGGTCCCTTAGGCCTAAGACAATCCCTACTTTGTACAGCTGGACTTCTGTTCCTCTCTTCCACATCCATCAGCTTGCACCTCTCACTTTGTCTTTCTCCTCTCTTCCCCTCTAAGCTTTCCATAATATACAGGAAAACCGCATCTCAGCCTTGTGGCTAATGCTACAGGAGAGATAAGTGAGCCTGAGGGATCCATGAGGAAGTAAATACTCTTATCAGATTGTCCATGTGGATATGCAGATTCTGATGAGAGGGCAGGCAATGGGGCTGGGTAGGGAGACCAATAGAAGAGCACGTCAAGGGCAACCCATGAATGAAGGACAACGGAGGAGGAGCTGAGCGTTGTGTGGCAGGTGAGAGGCAGACACCCTCAGAGAGTATCCACAAGTCAAGTCACTCCATCAGGACCAGGTCTTCTGCCCACTTGCCAGAGCGTAGGTGAGACCAAGGTCGGGGTGGGGGCGGTCCAGGGCGACTGTGTTCTAAGCAAACCAGCCCCACTATAAAAGAATTCCAAGGTGAGAACCTTGTACAAAGGCAGTCTGTACTTTAGCAAACTGCGAGTGAGGCCGAGGGAGGGAGGAGGGCACAGGGAGTCACTCACAAGCAAGTTGTCACAGATGCCACTAGCCACCTTCCCCAGAGTATTGGCATCAAGAGGGGCCACCAGCATCAGATCTGCCCACTTCCGCAGGTCAATGTGGAGAACTGGATCAGATCGGCGTTTCCACATCTGGGAGAGAGAAGGGAAGGGGGTCACTGGGCCAGCCACTCTTTCAGTGTAGAAGGAGGAAGGGGGAGGTGGAGGGCCAACGCAGGCCAGGTACACTAAGTCAGGAACCCGAGGGTGACCCTGCATCAATCCACTTGCAGTTGCCTCTCACAGCTAAGCTGGTGAGCATTGACTGTGGAGCCAACAGCCTGAGAGAAACCAGGCCTGAGGAAACAAACGCCCCTTGTCTCTCCAAGCTATTCCCTTTATGGTTTGGTTTTCAAGAGAACTGACATCTGGCAGGGAACTCCTGGCCTGTCTGCTTGAGGCGGATGCTTGGATTGTCTAAGCCAGTGGAAGGGCTCTGGAGCGGTGAAAAATGGAGGGGGTGGGGCGAGGAAGACAGGCCAGCCAGAAATGTTCTAGGCTGAGAATGTTTAAAAATGCCTGGCAGGGCACCCCTGTGAGGCCCACACTCGATGTCTGGTGAATCGGCCCATGCCCGCCCCTCTGCGGGAGAGCAGATGCAGAGCCCAGTGGCCGTGGGAAGTGAGGCGTTCTGGACAGCCCTGACACTGGGAGCCACGTGGACAAGGGTGGTGGGAACAGAGCTCCTCTGTGGTTTCATCAGCCCAGATAAGTACAAGGACACTCAACCTCAGGCACAGGGCCAAAGCTGAGCTTCGCCTGGGGTGGGAGGAGCAGCAGGCCTCCCACAGGCCAGAAGCTAGACAGATGTTTTTCTCATCACCTCTGCCCAGAGGGCCCTGACCACTGACTTGAGCCTGGCCTATCTGCTCCCACCACCAGGACTAGAGGCTGCAGGGAGGACAGTCCTGTCCTGTTGGTAGAAACGCAATCGGACTCAGCCCTAGGGGCCCCCAACACTAACCTCCCATTCATCAGCATCGCTGTAGAGGGTGACAGGAACATCCTGGGGAGTGTAGAAATGTTTGGCTCTCTCAGTTGTCACTACTGCTACTTCCAGCTGTCACCAAGAAAAAGTGGAGGCGGGGGGAGGGAGGGAAAGAAAAACTGTTACCAGAGCCGCCGGGCTAGAGGCCACACAGGGCCAGACCAGGCAAGGGCTTTCTTCACAGCCTAGTTGTGGCTCACCCTTTGCAGCAGTGAGCCACATGTCTGCATAGCTACTTCCGCTGTCACCCAAAGGTCAGGCCCCCCAGGTGCAGCCGTTTCACTTCCCTTTTGAGGGCCTGCTGAGGAATGAGTCACCAACTGCCCAGTGCATATAAAGCTGCAGGCTCCCGCTGCTCAGGCAGAGTGAGACGAGAGACAGATGCAGGCAGGTGATGGGAAGGGAACCCAAGGCAAGAGGGCCACAGAGGCCATGGCAGGCATGAGGAGCCACCCTGAGGAGGGCAGAGGGCCTGAGTTCTGGGTCACGCTTCAGCCCTGCCCACTGCAGGCCAAGGCACTGGGGAGCTGGAGCCCTGCACGTCGTGTCTGCACTCACATCATAGCAAGAAAGCAGGCAGAATCCCTTCACGTACTTCTAGGAACAAGGCCTCATGGGCTCCAGCTGCAGACAAGCTCCAGGAAAACCAAACCTGTGTGCCCTACACTCAGGGGCAAGAATGAAGTTTACCTTCACATTGGTCATTTACTAGATAAATTAATAATACAAACAAGAAGGATGATTAAGGTGCTTAACGAATAAATGGCTGTGAGAAACAGTACCCAGTAGTGTGAATGGCTCTAGAAGGGTTGCTTTCATTTGTAAAATGAGAGGTCAGACTAACAAGCTGGCAGAGTAGAGGGTCCCAGAAGAAGTGGCTGGGAGGGGAAGGGTCTAGGAAATCACACCTTTGGGGGACATTTATCTAGGAGGGAGAAGAGTCCAGAGTGACAAGGACACAATCATTGACTAACCAGGGCAAGGGTCGTGGGTGGCAGTGTCTGGGCCAGATCCAGCCTGCAGAAGTGCCATTTGGCCTGCACGGGGTTACACACATTTTTGAGCCAATACATACAAATCAGGAGATTTCACAGAGGAAATCCAATTTCTTGGCTTCTCTTGAAAAACTGTAAGCTCTGGCACTGCTGGGCCCACATTCCCACTTGATAATGACTTGGTGGCATTGAGTAATGGCGCCTCTTTGGATGCCCTTGGATGGGGCAAACCCATGATAATTCAACCTAGTCCCTGCCCCTCCCTATCATCTCACCAAGTCCCACTCTGCTCATTTGTTTCCTGCCTTGTGTAGGACAGTGTTCTACTCTGCACCCAAGAGCAAAGCTGGGACAAGGGAGTAGAAATCTCAGAGAGGCAGACTGCAGAAGAACTGCAGATGGTCTGGCGTTCCCAGCTCTACTGGAGAGCTCCTGAACCTGTCCATTCTCCCTCTCACTCTTCCTTAGAATCTACCATCCCCAGAAGTTACATAAAATCTCAGAGACCTTTTCTTTTTTTTTTCCTAAGGAAGATTTGCCCTAAGCTAACATCCTCTATTTTTTAGTATATGGGCCACCAGCACAGCATGGCCACTAACAGAGCAGTGTAAGTCCACACCCAAGAATGAACCCAGGCCACCAAAGTGCAGCATGCTGAACTGAACCACCAGGCCACCAGGGCTGGCCCTCAGGGACCTTTTTAAAGGTCATTTAAACCAAACTCCCACTGAGTTTGTCCTAGAGGGATCCCCTCTAGGACAGCCCTGAACAAGCCTTGGTAAAAAGCCCTCCCTTCATAGAACCCAGCCCTGGAGAAATAAATCTGACTAATAATGAGTTCCAGAAAGAGAGGACAGAAAAACAGAGAGGAGAAAATTATGAAAGAAATGAAAAGAAATTTCCCAGAACTGAAGAACTCAGAGGTGGGAGCCATCGCTTCTGCCTTTAGGGGTCTAAGAAGGTGTTGTACCCTTAGGCTCAGGGCACCTGAGTACCAAGTCCCTGGCCCACTGAGTGTCTGTCAATGGAGCCTGAGCCCACATCAACTCTTCTGGAAGCCACATTCTCCTGCTGATATTATACATAGGGTTTGCAGTCAGCAAAAACTCAAAAGGGTTCTTCTCATCCATGTTGCTACTAAGCTACAAGCCCCAACTGTACCTGCCCAGTTACTTTCTGGTCCCAAATGCAGTCCCTCACACTTCCCTGGTAAATTCTACCTTTCCAGGAGTTGGTCCCTGTTTGCTTGGTCTACAGAGAGCTCCTGAGATGTCAATCCTGTTCTTCCTGGCTTGTTCTCACCCAGCACCCTGAGACATGAATCCAAATCATGAACAGAACAAGGTCATGAGCAGAGCCTCCCCATGAGGTCCACAGGCTGGATGTGGCAGGTGGGAAAGAATCAAGAAGGAACCCTTTCCAAGTAGGATCTTTCACCAGTTATAAACACACTGACAACATCACCAGGTAGTCCAGGGGGGTGTCCTAAGATTCCATCAAAGGCCTCACCTAAATCTAAAATACTTTGTCTAATATCCAAAAACTAAACTAAAATTGGTATGCCTTGTTCCCAATCAAGCCCCAGTGACATCATTTTCTAAGTGCTTGCAAGCCTGGTCTACAGTAATTTGTGGAGCCCATCTCCTTTGCCTTTTGGATAAATGGACACTAGTCATCTCCAGCCTCCAGCCCCTCTGCTGTTTCCCATACATCCTGTAGGTCACCAAACACAACCTCAGTACCCCAAGACAGAACGTGCCCAGGGCAGGACATGAATCACCCAACTTCAAGTCCCTTCTACCACCATTTGTCCTACTTTTTCAAGCTCAAAAGAAAAAACGAAAACAAAATGGGACTCAAGAGTCCCTCCCACTTCTTTCTGTCCCCTCCTAATGTTACACCATTGGCCTCCAGGACAAAGCATGTTTTCATTGTTCTTTTTCCAAAGTATGTAACAGCCCCTTGGTCATCCTGAGTTTCACGGCAAGCTTCAGCTCACCCTGGTGCCTCTAACCATATTCTACCTTCCTCTGTGGTTACAAGTCCTCCTTTCCATTTAACTGCTCTCCAATTTCCTTCAACAGAGGGCTTCCCAGGTAGCCATATCAGCTCCGGTCACTGCCTTCTGTTCCTCATAGGGATTGCTTTCCTTCATTTCTAAGAGCTTCCCAACCACTTAAGAATGTCCCAGTTCATCCTCTCTCTATTCTGAAATTTAGAAGCTGCTTCCTGAAGAGCTAGTTCCCCTACTCTCCTCAACTCCTAAACTGCCTGCCAGTTTTCAAAGTGAGGACTGTGCCCAGGGCCAGCCTTCAGAAACATTGCCAGTTTGGTAATAGCCCTGTTCAGAGGCTCCCTCCTCCCTCCCAGCTCTACCTTTTCTTTCCTTCTACATCCACCTCATGGTCTCACAGCCTTCATATTGCCTCCCCTGGCCCCTGGGGAGTTCCCACCAGGGGTCCAGGTAGGCCTCCAACCCTGGGCACTAGCCCCTGCTTGAGATCTTCCCTCAAAGCTCCTCCCCCAGTCTCTCAGCCATCCCTCTCTGGCTTCTCTCCCAGGTTAGTCATTGTTAGGGCGCTTCCTGGGGTCAATGTCTTTACCTAAAGAGTAATGTAAAGAGTATGTGATGAGCCATCCTTCCTGATGCCCCTCCCCTGACCCTGATGAAGCAGCCACCTCTCCTTAGCAGTGACCCTGACCCCAGTGCTGTCTGGCAGGCCCAGGCCAGTTTTTCTGGTTTTAGAGGGATGTCACTTGATCTGATTCATCAGCCCTACGGGCTTTGTTCTTTCATTTTCATTCACTATGCCAAAAGGTCCTGGGAGCCAAGGTCTGGGCCCTGGGTTTGCATACATTATACACACACACACACACACACACACACACACACACACACACACACTATGTTGTGCTACCTTCTGACATACTAAATAACTCAGACTATTTACTCATTCACCCTGACCTTTCCCCCAGCAAATGCTAAGGAGCCCTAGTGGGGCCGAAAACTCCCGAGGGCAAGAGCCCTTCTTGGCTTTTTCTCACACCCTCCTGGGTGCTGGTAGAAGCAGGGCTGGGCATAAACAATCTCCCACACACTACAGAGTTCCTGAGAGGCAGCTCTGTGCTTGGTCCCCTGGCGAGACTCCTGCCAACAGTTTTTATATCTAATATGTTTAACCTGAACCTCTTTGAGTGATGTGATCAAGGCTTAGCCAGACCCTGTTATATAAGCTGCCTGCATTTTGCCTGGCATTTATAGAGATTCCTTCCTGAAATCAGTTAGCAAGTCTGGTTTCCTTTTCTCTGAAGATACATCAGCAATCCCATCTGGAGCTCCTGGAGAGTTGGGGGGGAAATGCAAACACAATTTGGGGTGATACCTCCACTTCTACTTTTAGTCTGACCCAGGCTGCTTCTGGGGCAGATTATCAACGGGACCTGTAGAGAAGCACTTTCACACCCACAGGATGAGACAAATCCCATGGCCTGAATTTCCACCTCCAACCCCTCTGGCCTCTACCCACTATAACCATGAGACCTGCACCCCCTCCCCACATTATGACAACCAAAAGTGTCTCTGGACATTGTCCAATGTGCCCTGAGAGGCAAAACGGCCCCAGTTGAGAACCACTACTCTAGAGAAATATCCAATAGAACTCTCTGCAGTGATAGAAATATGTCATACCTGTGTGGTCTAGTATGGCAGCCACTAGCCACACACAACTATTGAGCACTTGAGGTGTGGCTGGTGTGACCAATGAATTGAATTTTTGGTTTTATTTAATTTTAATTATTTAAATTTAAATTTGAATGTGGCTAGTGGCTACTGTATTAGATAGCACAGCTCTGGTATATACAAATAAAGAAAAGCCCCAGCTGAAACCCCCAGCTGAGTGGCCAGAAAAGAGCAAGTGTTTCTACTAGGGCGTGTGATGATGGCTCCACAGGAGACTGATGAAGATTCTAAAGAGGAAGCACCAACCATGACTCAACTTGCCACAAGGCAAGGAACCCAGAGATTTGGTGGCTCAGGCCTCTGGGCTGGCACATGCAGCAGAGGCCCCTGACATTGGT